CACACACACACACACACACACACACACACACACACACACACACACACTGCCCCAGCTGGTCACTGGCCTGAATCATCAGCAAAGCAAAAAGCGTGCAAATTTTCACTATAATGTGTGTTTGACCTAAATTGTCAATGAACCAAAACTAAAAACTTCACAATACAGTGAGCCAGCTGGCAGAATTTGTGTGTGTGTGTGTGTTTTTCACATGTGTATGTGTGTATTTAGTGTGTTTGTGTGTTTTCTGAGTGAGTGCAGGGTGAGTGATGCAGGGACAATTACATCATTCACCGACCTGGGAAATCATTTTAGAGATGCTCCACTTAAGAGCAAGCTTCAACACACACACACACACAAACACAGACACACACATCCCCCCCCCCCCCACACACACACACACACACACACACACACTGCTGACTGTGGCGTAGAAGTCCTTCTACGACAACATCTGCCAAACATCTCAAGAGTGTGTGTGTTCATGAGTGTGTGCAGATTATTCATCATGTAAAACATTAAGGAGCGCTGAGTCTGCTGCCACAGCTGCGACATCTAGTTCTGCTACTATACACTATTTTATCACTTGTACAGCCACCCGCTATTTCTAATAAAAAATAACAGTAATAATGTAGAGTTTTTTCTCTGCAGACTATAAAAATGGAGGAGCAGAACCTCCAGATGGCTCTGATCCCATTAACGAACACACTCAGTGTGTGTGTGTGTGTTTTAACAGTCTGTAGAGAATGTTTTTATATCCTAAAGCTCTGTCTTTCTCCTGAAATATCTCTCCCTCCCACTCCGTCCTTCCTCCGCATCAAACTCCCACTCTGACAGTAAAGATGTCCCTCCGCCATCTGCTGTCTGTCCGTCTGTCTCTGCAGTCTAAATGTCAATCTGGATTTTAAAAAAGAAATCACTTCGCTGGAGTGATAAAACATTTAAAGTACCCGGCTGAGCGACATGAGCTCTGGCTGGTATACTTAACTACGACTGCTGTGCTGTGACTGTGACAACAGAGCATATTGTTCCCCTCCGAATTCACACCGGACGCGAGACGTGCCGCTGAAGTGCTTACACTTTAAAACCACAGCGAGTCTTGACCTTTTATCCCCAGAACCAGCTGTCCTCTCTGCTCCGGAGATACTGAAAGCAGCTGACAGACTTCCATGAGCAATGAAATGTACAGAGATGTTTGTTACCACAGCAGCTCTATATGCTCATGGAGAAACTGGGAGCCTTGATTGATTGATGTAGATATGCATCATGACATATTTAAGTAGTATATTTTTTGCTATACAAATAAACTTGCCTTGCCTGAGGATATCTGCTGCTATGTTGACGACACCCAGCTCTACATCTCCACCGAATCCATCACTCCACCTCCACCCACTGCCTCACAGACCTGCATGCAAGCCAACTTTCTCAAACTGAACAGTGATAAATCTGAAATCCTCATCATCGGCCCCAAACCACTAAACAAATCCCACCACAGCGTCTCCCTYTGCATCCACCACAGCGTCTCCCTCTGCATCCACCACAGCGTCTCCCTCTGCATMGWTRGCTCCACTGATCCTGCTTCCACACTCATCCGTAASCTCGGAGTYAKCTTTGATCAAACCCTCTCCTTCCAACGCCACGTCAACYASATCCCAAGAAACGCTTTCTTTGAWYTAAGAAACATCGCCCGTCTACGTCTAGCTRAYAAACTAGTTAGCTAACTAGATTTTGCATTAGTTAGTTAGCTAACAAGCTAGTTAGCTAACTAGATTTTGMATTAGTTAGTTAGCTAASAAGCTAGTTAGCTAACTAGATTTTGAATTAGTTAGTTAGCTAAGAAGCTAGTTAGCCAACTAGATTTTGAATTAGTTAGTTAGCTAACAAGATAGTTAGCAAACTAGATTTTGGATTAGTTAGTTAGCTAACAAGATAGTTAGCTAGATAAATTGTTAATTGCACCATGTTTTGCAACCAGTTAGCTAGCTTGCTAATCAATGCACTGTGCTTTAATGCTACACTGGTTACAAAAGATTTGCCAAACAGCGGGCTGGTGGCCAACGGGTCTAACGGCCTCCGCTTCACTCCCCGCTTGTTAATTAGTTAGTAAGCTAACATGCTACCTAGCTAATTAGCCATCCATCCATATCCGGAGCTGCGTCCACTCTCTTGCCGGCGAGCTGCGACAACATTTTACCACTGATTAGTGTTTTCTCCATAACAGCTAACAACAAACGTAATTTTCACTTAATTTTGTATTAATCGAATGAACACGGAAAACAGTTCCATTTCCACTTCACTCGCGTTCTGTCAACACACAGCACACCTGGGTCCAGGTAGAACACCGGCATAGAAATACTGAACACAATGCACAGAGAATGAAAGACACAGGGGGTTAATGGGGGCCCCAGCAGTTCATTGTTGCCCCGGGACCCCCTACAGGATTAATCCATAAACGGCTGCTTGCAGCTGCAGTAAGATAAATCTGAAAACAGCTCTTTTTTTCTGATCCATGTAGACGGTTCATTTACAATGAAACCCCAGCGGGACAGGATTAACAATCCAGAGAGATGTAGGCACTAAAAAATTAGCTGTGCTCCGCAGTAATTGCTCTCAATGTCCTGGACGGGAATTTAGCCAGAGTCGCATTACAGCAGGTGGATCCTGGTGGAGGTGTGACGCAGGTCTGCTGTTTGACTCCCTCCTTTCAGAGGCGGATCTTTTCTTTGGTGTCATTGTTCTGTAGTTTCACACGCATCACTGCAGAAACACAGACTTAATGCGCTGTGCTAAATAAATGATGCTCTGCGTCTTTTCAGAGGAGTCGGGTTCATCGAGCTCTCTCTTCTTCAGTTATTCTGCAGGGAATCCACATACATGTGCTCTCCAGAACAGAGTATGAACTATTAAATAGGAATGCACCCCTGCAGAGATCAGTCCTCATGAATGTAGATTTATCCGAGCACTGAAGAATGGAGCGTTTCCAAATTGCTTCTTAAACTTTAAAAGGCCCAGTATGTGAAAAAATGGAGCTTTTCCCAAAAAAGATGCTGCCATATGGTCGTCGTGCGGACCGCTCCCTCGACAATAACAACTTCACTTTGGCAACAAGAGGAGTGAAAACACGCAGTTAGTGGAAAAGAATTAAAAAGTTGGTGAAGTATTTTTTTGTCTGACAGTAAGGAGGACCCGAGCTGCTCCTTCTCTGAGAATCCATTCAGCCTGAAACTGTGTTTAATTTAGTGATTTCATTTTTTAGAATCCAAGCATCCCTCTTATCATCAGCTCCCTGCTGCTCCGTACACAACACCAGCAACTGCTTCTATTTAATTTGCCGTTTGAAATCTAATTTTGCAGATCTCGTTAAGGACCCAGAGGGAGCGAACGAGCCGGCTGCATTTGAAAGAGAGAGAAGTTAAAGCTGCAGCTTCTCTTTTACCTTTATAGGTTAATTGAAGGCAGAACATGTGTTGCATGGAAACACTGGGACTCAGTTTTGGTTTGTACTCCACTTCAAATCTACAGAAACAGTCAGTAGATTTAGTCCAATGCAAAGAGGGTGAGAGACTGTAAAGGCTTGAAATGGTGTGATTACGAATAGGACGGCACTTTGCCTCAACATATCACGTTACCATTACGTCATATCATGTTACGTACACTTGTCAGTTTTTATTTTGTACTTTTTACTCCCTGATTTGAATGTGTGTGTGTGTGTGTGTATTGGTACCTGTTCTTGTTGCTGGAGATCCAGTCAGAGATGTAGGCGACGGCCTGACGGTGGCACTGTTTGTTCCCGAAGCTACATGCTAACATGATTAGCTCCCTCTGTAACTCCCTGAAGAAGAAGAGGTTCTTCTGTCAGATAGTTAAAGCAACAATGTGGACATTTTATAAAAAGCCTCTCGTGTGGATATCAGTTTCACCTCTAAAGAGAAAGGGTCAGGATTTAGCTTTGTTTACGTGAGTAGCACGAGCCTCCACAGAGCTACGAGCACACACAGAGTTATGCTCTATGTCTGATGCAATATTCTCCCAAATGACAATGAGTGTAACCGGCAAAACGCCATAAACCTGACTTAACTGTTTTAAAGCATCTAAAAACGAATTGACCACGCATGACGCGCGTGGTTTTCCTACGAACGTCCAGCAACACGTCACTTTAAGCCTGTTACATTCAAACAGTCTTTTCAAAATATTTCGTAGGTATATCTGTGAACGGTGTAGTGTGTGTGTGTGTGTGTGTGTGTGTGCGTGCGTGTTGCATACTCAGTCTGGTAGGACGCCTGCAACACGTTGCCCTCGCTGCCGGGCCCGTTTGTTGGCCAACCCGTCTGATGGTACCGTGATGCAACCTGCTTCAGCACATAGTCCTGGTAACACACACACACACACACACACACACACACACACACACACACATCATTAGGAGCTAATGGACAGACAGCCAGTTGACAGCGCTGAAGAGACAGTTTATTCTGCCATCATGGAGCCGTTACCGACTGACTGACTGACTGAGGCGGTAATTGATCGATCGGTGCTTACACTGAACAGGCTGTATTCGTCTGTGCGGTCCAGCAGTTTGTCCAGCTGGTAGAGCGCTCGGCTGGCAGAGTGCCACGGCAGGAAGGACGGCTCCTCTGGCAGGTAGCCAATCAGCTGCAAGGGAACGCCCTGTGGGAGGTACCCGGCCCTGAGAGAGAGAGAAGGAAGAAAAAGGACGGTCAGATTTACCCCACACTGCATTCACGAGACAAGATAATGCCGAGTGAAGCTGAAGCTTCATGTATTAGACCTGCATTCTCTCTAGTGTCCACCAGGGGGCGACTCCTCTGGTTGTATAGAAGTCTATGAGAAAATGACTCTACTTCTCTCTTGATTTATTACCTCAGTAAACATTGTAAACATGAGTTTATGGTCTCAATCTCTAGTTTCAAGTCTTCTTCAATACAGCATGATGTTCATTTAGTACATTATGGTCCATTTAGAGTCAAACAGACCATAAAGCAGGGGATGCTTTAGGGCGGGGCTACACAGTGATTGACAAGACCTGAGACGTATACGGCGTCTCTACGTCACTCCTCATCAGTCCAGATGTGGTCACTTCCTGTTCACTGGTTGGAAAAAAACAAGATGGCAACAGCGAAATTGAGGCCTGATCCTGATCTTCAAACCTCAATCTGTGTCTGTGCGTGTGCGTGTGCGTGCGTGCGTGTTAATAAACTACAGTACGACACATTAAGATAAACTTGGCCTCTGAATGACACCGGAGCTATTTAGACTGACGGGGTTACATCCACCTCCTCATGAATATTAAGCAGCGTCTTCGTGCATTTATTAAGAGTCATGGTGTTTTAGAGTGGGGAGGGGAGGAGGGGGGGGGGGGTTTCTTTGACCTTCAGCCCCACCCACAACTCATGAATATTAATGAGGCAGACAGTCGGTGTCTAAAGGTGAACTCAGAGAGGCGATATTAGTTTTTTGGTTTTATTGCTGTTATCGGTGTTCGGACTGAAGAAAGTACCGCAGAGAAATGTTTGATCTCACAGTCTGACCTTTACTGAAGAGCTGTCAATCACAGTGAGTGGCAGACGCACAGAGGAGGAGGGGATTCAATGTTCTTTTACTGAAGTTGTTCCGTGGACGGTTTTCAATTTACAGACAGGCGTTGGTTGTGGTGGACTCAAGCTGTCTGAGGGCAGGGGTGAGAATAAAGTATGTAGCATATATAGCACTGAATTATGTCTTCTACATGTTAAGGCCACACTAGAGGGCACTCTATCACGTAGGTTCCTCTGGATGAGCACCATAGAGCGCAGTGCATTGTGTGTTCTTTACTTTACAAGCACCTGTTAGTGCACTGCATCTTGTTTTCTCCACTGTAGGGAAACTCTGGAGGGCACTTTGTCACATTTTCTCCACTGGAAGAGCACCCACAGGGCACTTCATCATGTTTTCTCTCCTGGAAAGGCACCATAAGAGAGCACTTTGTAAGGTTTTCAACACTGGAAGGGCACACTAGAGGCACTTTTTCTGCATTTCCACCAGTGGGTTGAGAGAGACAGAACTCCACAGAGAGTTAATCTGTTCGAGATACGACTCTCTAAGTCTTTAAAGAGCCAACTAAACTCTAAACTCCAGGCCGTCATATTTCCATAATCGCCCTCGTATCCAACCTCCACACATTCATCTATATTCCCATCTTGCACCTGGCCTCTGAGACCATTACCATAATCCATCCCAACTGCAGAAAAGAAACTTTCTGTTTACGTGTGACGGGACTAAACATGAAGGTGAGAGGAGAGATGGTGGTCGCGATGGCAACAACATTCCAGCCCCATTGATCCGTTTACTTTTCCACTTTTCAAATTGCAGGCGAACAACTACAAGACGCACTTTGTGCGTCATTAAGGCAACAGCTGTCTGTCTTCTTATTTTAGCCTCTTCTGGGGAACACTGAAACACTGAGAAATAAAACCCTAAAAACACGTAAAGTTCAAACCCTGAAATCTCTCATATTCTTACAACCTTTAAAGGAACAGTGTTACACTGTGGATCATACACTTATTTGCTTTCTTGAAGGAGATTGATACGCTCTCATGTCAGCTTGCTAAATAAGTGAAGCTACAGCCAGCAGCTAGTTAGCTTAGCATAAAGACTGGGAATAGAGCAGGGCCGAGTCTAAACGGGTGACACTTCCAGCAGCCAGTTAGCTTCGCTGGATGGATGTATGCACTTTGGGTTTGATTTCAAGGAGACCTGAGATGATAAACACTTTAGATTTTAATGACTCTGTGACCTTTTCACTGGTGCCAGCCTCACACACTCCACACTCAGTAAGCCTCTAAAGGACTCTAGTCCGGCTATTCGGTCTCTCTCTTTCAACTATTCGGTTCTGCTCACAGAGAGGCAGGAACGTGCACGAGGAGATTATAGATTTTCAATTTTCCCTCTCACTTACAGTCTGTGTGTATTAGTGTGTGTGTGTGAGTCTCCCAGTGTTGTCATCCTAACGAGCTCATTAACTCGTTAACATCGTTAAGGGCCAGTTAATTGTTTGTCCATTAGCCATTAGCGAGGCTCAGTGGAGAGCTAACGAGGGACCGCCGCGGTCACACACACACACACACACACACACACACACACACACACACACACAC